TCCTTTTTCCTGCTCTTTTCCTAGAACGTTGTAAAAGTTTAGGGCTGTCACTTAGAGTGTAACTTAGGCTACTAAATAAGTATTTTGTTTTCCATAAATGCCAAGCCTCTGAAGGTTCTTAGTGTACTTCTGAGCATCAGCTTTCTCTGACAGCTCATCTGTGCCTCTCTTTTCCAGGAATGTAACTTTTCAAGCATTCATGTTTTCATATCTTCACTTTAATCTCCTGTGCTTTAGTTGTAAAAATACAACAACATTGCCATTTCCACCAAACACTTTGGGAGTCACAGGCAAAGAAAATACGAGTGGAAGGGATGAATCACCAACTGGTGATCTTTCTTTTTCCGCTTTCTGGCAAGAAATCCTCTTACTCAAACTGAGAAAGTGGATGCTTACACAAGAGGTTTTGTGAGCAGACTTCTTAAAAACACTACCATTTGCCAAATGTGTCAAAAATCACTTCATGTTCATCTGATTTCCACCCAATTTTTTTCTAGAAGGCTTATAAAAAAAAATATCCCCAAACCAAATAAAAAAACAACAAATAATCTTTTTTTCTTTTGTTTTCAGTGGGGTTGAGAGGCAGAGATTTCAGGGATTTTACTAACATTTGGAAAGAAAGCAAATAGGTTGACTCTTAAGAAGGCCAGTAATAAGCGTAGGGTTTCAGAAGCAATCAGTGCTGGCCTAACTTTGTGGGTGTCAACAGTAAAAAAACTATTGACTGATGGCAAAAAAATCGTGGTCCTTTCTGGAAATCTCTGGTTTTTTACTCACATGCCATGACTTTTTTTCTTTCAGCCATGAGGGAGATGACCTGGTCGCCTTAGCCACCCCAATACACTCCTCTTATGGCAACAGCAGGCCCTCAGATGAGTTCAACAGAGTGGTTTTCTGACCACAAAATACAGGTGTTTAAATAACGTCCTTGGATTAATCCTTAGCACAATTAGGTTCTTGTATTTCTGGATATTGTCGATAAGTACAATGGACACAGGTCCATTTATCAGATTCCTGGCCTTTGGGGAAGGTGGCACAGCTTTAAACTGCCAAATTCTTTAGTCAGAGAATAAGACTGGCATAAATATCTACCTGTTTTCTCATCTGTGGTACAGCACACAAACAAGCAGCAAAGATGTAGCCTTTCATTTCTGAGCAACTGGGATGGACAGCACTGCAGTCAGTAGATCATAAGCAAAACTGACTGCCTGGAATAACACCAGAGTGTCACTACAATAAAATATTGATTCACTCCCACTGTCTCCTTATCCTTCCTTCCTTTCCAGGCCATGCCTACAACTAACAAATTGATGGGATTTCAGAGAAAAGAATAACACACACATTTTTGGAGAAGATAGAGGGAAATGCTTGAAGTGTAGCAGACAAAATGCTTTATGAATGTTGACCTTAGTGAACAATCTAGAAATTCAACAAGGGATGTTATCTGCAGCTGCTGCAGAAATGTATTAAGAAAAGGCTGACATTGTGCTGAGGCACATCTGTTATGCAAAATATAGAATTTATGTAAATATTGCAATGCAATATCAAGCCAGGCATATATTAAAACTTAAGGACAGCATAAAAGTTTAAAAGTTTCCATTCCAGACTTTGGAAACCATTCTTCTAAATATCTACCCCAGATGCAAGTTTATCTCAAAAGTATCCATAACAACACAAGGTGTGAGCATATTTTCTGAACAAAATTCTCAATTTGTTTTGGAGGAAAGAATTTAATTAAAAAACGTGTACACCATTGCTATTCATAAACTTGTCCAAGCAAAACAAGTCATAAACCAATTTGGTTTTATTTATTAACTCTTGCAACATGTGTGGTACACATATATAAAAAAAAATCTTGTGAACAGAAACATTATAGCCAGAGATGAATGAAATTTCTTGATGAATACAAAACTAATTAGGAAATGAAATCCTGGACACACTAAAACCCTTTGCAAACTCTGATCAGCTTTGATCAGAGCGAGTAGCTTTGTTCCCAAAATGGGTAAGTGAACTACTTTGCTTTGAAGTGGAAATAGGCAACTAAATAAAAGTTTTGATTTCTTAAACCAGCATTACCATTTTGAAATAGAATTTCAATTTTTAAAAGGGGAAATCTCTTGAAACCAAATCAGAAATTCAGTCCTCTTGAACGCACAAAGGTAAAAAAAAAACATTTCACTTAACCCCAAAGGAAACATGTGCTGTGTTTAGAACATAATGAAACATTTTAATTAATTTTAGGGGTTTTTTTTACATTCAATGCCCAAGTCACCTAACTGCCCTCATCTCCTTACATCCACACACACACCCATGCCCCAAAACCAAGGATCTTCACACATCACACCACACAAACACATCCTTGTCCACGCTGCTCTAACTGTTGTTCTCTCCAGGAGCACTCATGGGATTCAACAGTTATATCATTAAACAAACAGTGCAATTATTCAACAATTTCCACACACAGATGTGTCTTTCTCCTTCACTTACACTTTTTGGCTCCCAAACACGTTTGGATACACTCCTGACTCTGTAGAACTATGGAAAAGAAACTTAGCCCACGTAAAAAGTCCATTTAGTGCAAATCATCCTAGCGAATATCCACGGATTTAATGTGGAGATATTTTATGATTTCTTTTTTTTTATGATTCATTATCTTAAGTTGGAAAAAATGACATTTCCATATCAGCTGGGTCAGTGTTTTAAACATCTGGATGACAATATACAGAAAATTAAATCACTAAGGACTTTTATCTAGGTAGTATATAAAGCTAGACATTCACCTGCAATAAATAGCACATTTTATTTCCTATTTTCCATTTTCTTTCCTATTTGACAACCCCTTTAAAAACTCCAGCTGAAAATTTCTTGCAACTATTAAGCACTCCATAACAAAAAATGTAATTCTGGGAAGAATATGTGATAATGATAGTTAATAATTCAATTGTGTCCTTGTTTTAAATGCAAACAGGTCTTCATGTTAAGCACAGACCACTTGACAAACTTCCATAATAAATGCATCGGTTATATCACAATGCACTCTGGAATACTGCCAAGCAGCGATGCATTTAGGACACGAAAATTAAAAAGTCAATTAATTCAGAGTATGTGACTGCACAATAAATCTTCTATATGCGACATTAGGACCTCTTTAACTCAAACAGACTTTAGAATCAAGTTGCTTACATTCAAGAGTCCATGCCCCTCTCTTTTGGAGAGAGATGCTTCTTAGTCATTCCAATTTGTTAATGTATGGAGCTATAGAATATTAATTAAAAAACATGTACAGAATTTTTTTAAGTTATGAATTAGATAGGGGGAAGGTGTTAATATTTAGCTGGGATTTAATTTCAGTGGTTTCTTAAGCAATTATATCTCATTAGGAAAACTAGTTACTATCAGGTAAGGTAAATTTAGAAAGTATAGAAACTGGCTTGATTTTTATGAAAGGCAGAGAATGGAATGCAATTATTTTCTTCTGAAAGCATGGTCTTCATCTCTGAAAATGACTTGTTCAAAATCAAAGCCCTTTAGTTAATGTTTAATGCTGGAAGATGATCACACGTCAATATGAGCATAGCAAAAATGTCAATTTTTTAATTTAAATAAAGCTCATAACCAACTAATTCTTAAACAACATCTGCTTGTTAACAGTGCACTGGTAATAGGATATGGATAGTTCACCATCAAAAACAGTCCTTGAGCCCAATACTGTGGAATACATTAAGCAATGTAGTTATGCTGGAGAGAACAGATAAAAAAATAAGGAGCAATGAGATTTTTGAGTGAAACAGAATATAGAATATTATTGCATTTGTGAAGTACAGGGTAATGAAAAGGGTAGGGGGGAGGAAGAAAAAAAAGCAAAAACTGAGTCCAGTTACAGTCAAGCAAATATGAGAAAAAGGAAAATGCATCAGAAAACCTTCACCTACAGAAAAACTACGTATCTCCATGGGACTTGCATGAATGTTCTTTTTTATATATTCTTAGGTATGACAAATGAATTCTGAGTAGACACAGGAAGAAAAAGCATTCAGATACTAATGACAGAGATAGAGAGTGCAAAAGAGAGCTCAAGAATACAAGACCCACTGAGGGAGAGTGAGACATCTGAAAAATTAACCAGCTGCCACACAAAGAGGTATTCAGAGCACTGCAAACTTCAACACCATGTTAGGACCAAAGAGATAAGAAAAGCAGCTCTATATTACTCAATGGGTACTTGCAAGTCTCTCTTCCTATGTTAAACCCAGGGCCAATTCTCAGACATCTGGAGTCTGAGGACCACTTGTGCATACCTGAACACTAAAATGAAGCCCAGGGCCATCTCCTGGCAGGACAGAAGCAAGGGATGCCAAACCAATCTGGGAGCAATGTGCAGGAGAAACCTGCAGCTGAGGGTTACCTCGTGTTATGAATAGCTCAAGGAAAATTTGGGGGCCATGGAAGAACAGCTAAGTAATGTGGCTGGGAGGAGGACTGGGGGTTTTATGCTGTTCTTGGCTTGCAGGTCACAAAGGTCTGTGGTAAGAAGTGAGCTGAGAACCTGGCACATCACTGAAAGTAATGTAAGTGGCTGAACAGGTTTTAGTCCACAAGTAAAAAGTACTGAGATGGTAAAACTGGTACTGGTGAAATCTCTGAGAAATGAGCAGTCTGTCACCATCTTCACTAAGTGCTGTTTCCATAAACATCTCACAACAGGCTCCTTCTGAGCCCATCTCTGCATTTTCCAGTTGCCAGTGTCTCCGAACAGGGCAGCCTGTGGATGCAGACCTCACTATTCTCACATACACGTGACCAGCCAACTGGTTAAATGAGGGCTTTGCTCAGGCATGTTAAGAGATCTGCACATGTTTTTCCAAGTGTACAATGGACAGCCCTTCACACCGAGCAGTTCAGCGTGTCTCCTCTCACCCTCCTCCCCCACACCTCAGCCCTACATGAAAGCGAAGGCAACATTCGGAACTAAGCTCACTAAAAACGATTTGGTTCATTGCTACACTTCAAAAAAAAAAAAAACTACGTAAAAAAACCATGCAGCTGCCTTGTGACAGCAACATAGCATGTCCCAGAGGTTGGTTTTAGTGTATTTACTCTTCCAGAGCACCACGTCTCTTAGTAAACGGGCAACATATGATGCAGTTCTGGTCTCATCACAACATGTGTAACATCTGGGAGAGCTGCCACTTGTGAAGCCAACCAGTGCTCTGCTGACAGACAAAGTGAGCATTATGCTGAAATGCCATTCCTCAGCTGTTTGCAGAATTAATTTCCCTGTAGAATTTTCTAATTAGTTGGCTCTTTCCAGCCCGTTCCCCACAGAGGAAGCAGAAAGGAAGCAAAAGGCTAGCACCTGCTCCTAAAGCTCTGGCTGGGGAAAAAAAAATAATTAAATTTAAGGATGACATATACAGTAAGTATTTAGGCACTAGAAAGCCTTCTATCCATGCAGCTGTGGGGATGAAGTAACTCTGTTTGAAAGCTTAATGGAGATTCTTCTGTGGGGAAGAATTTCCAGTGGCTCACATTCCAGACAGTTAACCACATTACCGAAGGGAAGAAAAAGGGATTTGTTCAAGCATTAAGAACTGCCTTTTAAAAAAAAAAAAAAAAAAAAAAAAAAAAAAAAAAAATCCCCCAATCTGTAGAAAAGACAGACAGATGAATCCAGACCTGAGAATGATTCTGCATGTAGCTCACTCAATCACTTACAGGTTATTTTCAATCATTCGGTTTTCCTATGACTTCAAATTAAAAACTATTCTTATGCTGGAACTAAGTGTATGATATTATCTTAGAAGCAACAACTTAACAGAATTTGTTCCTTACTGGAGTGAGTCATTGGAATAAAAAAAAATAACATGGTTCTTCCTTTGAATTTACCTGCAGTCTGTCATTGTAAGCTAAAAACCATGAGAGGTATTTAATGAAAAATAAAAACAAGAACAAAACAGTTCAATAAAGGCAGTTTGCATTTCTCACTACATAGGCACTTTGTCAAAAGAATTTTTAAATACTGAATATAAAGGAAGATGGTGGTCTACTAAAGTTAGAATGCATGAGGGAAAAAATCTTCCTTATGGAAATTAGGATAAGCCATAATCACTTCAATAAACAATTTCCACTGTCTTCCCCCAGTAGCCTTACAAAATGGTGGACATTACAAAAAAATAAGGTTCTAGAATAAGATCACAGATATAATGTGTCTACATTCATTTGGTGTGTGTTTTGATCAGCACAACGTGTGATTTAGGCCCAGAGATGAGCAAGAGTTATCCATTAATAGGGCATATTGTGATTTAATTGCACAACCTTGTCTAATTTTTGTGAAATTCCAAATAGATTCAACATAGGTACCTCAGTGTATGTACCTAGTTGGATTAGTGGCATATGGGATTGAAAGACTTTTTACCTAATAATGTATTAATTTCATAGAATCAAGACACAGTGTTATATTTTTATAAACTCATTATTTTACAGAACAATTTTAGATAAACAAATGCAACAGGACGTGCAGGTAGGAGGAAAGGTTCTGTTAAAAGCAGAGTTAAAAAAAAAGAGATAATGTTGCCTACCTGGGCCAAATGCCCAGACCTTTTTCCCCACTCAAAGACAATTTGGAAAACTTAGCGAAATAACAAGTGGAGATGTAAGGCAAGGCTGTTCCTGCTTTTCACTGGCAATGCTTGGTACTATTCTCTGGTATTCTGGTAGTCTGTGGAAAATCTGTGTATGAGTGAGTGGCGTTTACCCTTGTCATATGAAGTGGCAGTGACATGTTAATTTCAAAATGTCTACAGTTATTTCAAGTGGACTTCCCCCAAAAGCCTGCATTGGAGAGGATAATTTCAAACTTCAGAAAACCAAAGTAAACAACACTTATTTATATTCCTCGGAAGTGGTGCAGCTAAATTCATCTGTGGCTTCAGAAATCTCCTGTAATACTTTAGTTTGGCCCATTAACTGCACCTGTTTTCTTTTTCTTTCTCTTCTTTTTTTTAGGGTGGGATCAGGAGTGGGGGGAAATTATTTCCCCTTCAATACCAGGTGTCTGGCTTTTAAAGGATGCATAGAATATTTTATTTCTTTACTGTCCAGGCATTTCAAGTGAAACAATAATCCAAAACCCCTCATCCCATTGTTTCCCCCTTTGAAATTAAAAGTAAATAATGGAAGGAGAGAATGTCCTTGGAGAAGCAAATGAATGACAGCTCACAGAGAAACATAATCTATTTTCCACAAATAATCATCTAAATGAATCCATTTTATAGGCTTTTATTTATTTTTCACTTTGGCAAAAACGGCAAAACCATTTCACTGAAATCATTTTGACTTATTTCTAACTTGAGCATAGACTTCCCATAAATATAAGCATATTTAACCTCCTGCAGGCAGCTTGTCTCCAAGACCTCTGCCCTCAGTCATAGAATTAAATTTAATTTACCTGTAGCTCACTGAAACAGGCTTTATTTTTTCCCTTAACAGGCAAAGTGACAGTGAATAGCAATTTGAGTGTAAAAAAAAAGACATATTGTTCTCAGATTATTATAGGTCATAATATTTGACTTCAGCTAAATCTGAAGTCAAGAAAACAAGCTAAGAAAACTTGGGTTTGTTTGAGGAAATAACCTCTGCTTATTCACCACACAGTGAAATTAAAAAAAATATTAAAACTAAATATTAGTTACATCAGTGACCTTTAAAAGTATGTTGGAGGATTTTGTATTGGTTGTGTTCTGTTTTGCTTTTGATTAGTTTTGCCTGGTTTATCTGTAAATCTGAAACACATGAAGAAACAAAGTCGGTAGAACAGAAAAGAATGATTTTCTCTGGGAAGCCTCTAACCTGTTGTAGAGAAGAATTCTGCATTATGGTGCAGCTGACTCATCCCTTATTTCTCTCAGTTACCAAGAAAAGCAAGAAAAAAAAGGCAATTTCTGTGCCTTCACAAAAGTTTAGAAAAACACTGCACAAATGGCTGAAGAGGAACGTTTGACTCAAGCCCCAGAATACTGATTCAGGAACCATCTTTTGCTGAGTGCCACTATTGATCGGTGTTACCCGGGTTTTAGGACAGCAAAATCTCACCCAGGGTAAAAGAGAAAGGTAGAAAATACTGCCTTGGCTGCAACTATGACAAGTACACCCCAGTGGTGAGCATGGGATGAGAATCCAAAGGTAATTCACGGGGTTTGATGGCAGTTGGGGGACATCCTTCATAAGCCTGGGGTTACAGCTCCCTCTCCTTCTTACCCCTTCAGCTGACAGACATTCCCTGCCCGCTCCAGAAGCAGCCCCTGGACACACAGTGGGTCCTTCTCACTCCCGTTCTTCCTTTGTTTCTCCCTCTTTGGTCAATCATCTGTTTCTCCATTCAGATGTTTTCCCTGAACATTCAGGCTAACGTTAAACAAACAGCACATGGCCAGATCCCGAGTCCCTGTGCAGACTCACTGACCACCTCTGTTCCCAACGCCAGGCACGGCAGCCTCGGAGAGGCTCACAGGTTGCAACATGTGTATTAATATCACTTTGCTTTTTCATATCCTTATCTCTAACAGCAAATCTGTGTAGCTCAGGATATGAACTGCAAATGAGAGATGAGGAACTGGTTACTGCTTATCGGGAATGATGGAATTTGAGATTCGGAGATGAAGGGGGTTTGTTAGTTGGGTTTTTTTTAATGAGAGGACTGGCTGATATTTATCAGTTGACCCCTGTTTCAGGTAATGGAGCAGTTGGCAGGGAGCTATTCACACTGATTATAATGAGCTGGTATTCTGATTAACTTCTGATTTCCCTAGAATTATTTGTACAAGCTCTTTATTGCTCTGGATAATTCTCCCCTTCCTGGTTTAGGAAGTGGAACTGACATCCTCCTGGAGCACCGCTAACAGCTCCCCAGATTTTATTATGTGAGACGACATGATGGTCAAAGATTAACCCAACCTCTTACTATTTTTCAATATTAAAATTAGACCTCTGTGACATTTGCTTTGTTCTAACCAAGCTGGAGTAATGCACAACTTTATCATCTAAGAAAGATTTATGGTACTGAGACTGATCAGGATATTACTTTTACTCAATATTTCCGTGGCTAAGGCAACTGCTGTCTTCCTTCAGGATTGAGCACTTGTGTAACCCGAGTGGCTTTCAATCCCTGCTTGTTCTGAGAGTCCCCCAAGCTCTTCTCCTGTGGCTGGAAGGAATTATGATGTTCTTTCCTTCTCTCTCCACTGCTAAGCTTGTTGCCTGCAGTACCTTTGGGTTTCTTCCCTCTTTCACAGCCTGTTATTTGGCATTGTTCTGTCTCACTTCTCTGCCACAACAGATCCTTGAAGTGAGCATTCAGAGAAGCAGATTTTCAACTATTTTTCCAAAAGTTCCCTCATTACATCTACAAGCCTGAGCCCAACAGACCTTGCAACTACAGGTGAGAGTCCAGGTAGAACAAGTAATGTCTTATCACATATGTTCATTAGGATTTCTACTACAACAGCAAACAAACATTTCCTTTTCCAACCTGGCTATTGAAGTCTCATATTTCACATATCTGTAGAGAAGACCAGGTTTGTTTTCCATGAATGGGCCACATTATGGGTTTTTTTATGTTATTCAATCTCCTACAGGCTTTTATCCAAACCAAGCAACCAAAATAAAACATGGCTTCCTTCCCTGAGATGGTTTCATAGCCCAGCTCTCCAACTTTCTCCCCTACCACAAACATGCAACACAATTGTGCAACAGCTGAGGAAGGAATGGTGAGATCAGAGCCGTGACTGCAGACATCCTGACATGGGGATCTGGCAGCTATTCAACACAAACACAATTAGAGGACTTACCCTTGCGTGAAGTATTTGCTTTCTTGATAGTCACCAGCCTTAACCTCTAGGAATGCTTACAAATCAGATAGCGTTCCTTGAGGAGGGCGAGCCTTTTCAAGCTCCTCTGTCTTCCTTTAGCCAACACAGATATAAAGAAGAAAGACATTCCACCGTGTCATACAACTTCTCCAAGGGAAAGCCTTTAAAAGGAGAGAAGAGTTGTGGTCTCAAAATCCCTGCCAAGGATTCAAGAAAAGAAGATCACGTGGTGCTTATTCCTCTTCTTCTCTACTATTACCAGAAGTAAAAAGTAGCACCACAAGAGACAAACTTTGAAATTCACACCAAACATGAAAGTAGGGGGCTTCTTGAGTCCTTCTCCTTGGCTTTGCATTGCAGTAGGTTTTGATGGTGGTGGTGATACCACAAAACGATGGCAGGGCTTTGCATGTCTTAGTAACTCATATGTGTGTATCTGCACAGATCTTTGTGAGTTGGGTACAGAAAAGGTTCATGATTCTACAAAATGCAACCCAGTGCATACGGGTGTTATATCACTTAAAAATTCTAAAGTGTGAAAATTCAGTAGATTAATTCCAATTAGTGTAAATCCAGGGCTTTTCACAGAGTTAACTTAATCTTAAAAATGGCAGCAACAGCGGAACTTTAATAAAATATCTGATAGCAAATAGGTCAAGTGTCAGTCTGGCATAGCAGTTACAAAGTCTTGTTCTGAAATGGCCAAGGATTTAATTTATTCTCCTCTCAAGCTGAGCTAGTGACATGAGAGAAATGGAGCAAAGAAGTACCCTTTGGTGTAACCTCAGGAGTGTAATGCAAGCAGAACTGAGGGGAAGGTTACTTGGTGGGATTTACAGACAATGCAAGGAGACATGACACGACTACCACAGGTACTGCGAGTTACAGAGACACTTAAATGGTGTAACATAAAACAAAATAACAATAAAAGTTATAAAAGGTACTTCCAACTCAGAAATATTGAAAAGAGCTGAGAAGTGCTGCACTGTGTGACCTCCCTGAGCAAACCCACCACCTCACTGCATGAGCACTCATCCACCAGCAGCTTTGAAACTGCACCCCTGAGCTGCAGCCTGACAGCTGCAGGAGGAAAAGTTGAGCAGTGCTGTGCCTTCCCAAGTGACCAGATGCACTTCTCCATTGTTAGCAGCTTTCACAAGTATCAACAATCTGAAAAACAGTAGAGAATGCCAAAATATCAGATATCTGAATCCAGTCAGAACAAGACACTCCCAAAAATATTTCTAACACTATGAAATTCACACACACACACACACCTCCCCAAATATCCAGGGAACATATTTGCATGGGACGAGAAGAAAAACAACAATAATGCCTCAGCCAGATCTCAGTGGTCACAGAGTTCCAAGTAAAGGAGCTGATTGATGTTATTAGGGTGCACACAAAACAAGCAGGCCACGCTCAGGGGACAATCTGGTACTAAACTACTGGTAGTAAAGCAGTTGCATCAAGCAAGAAAATACTGCAAATAAAACATATTTCTGGGGTAGCTCTGTTGACATCGGCAGACCCACCCAAGCCAGGCATTCTTCCCAAAATAAAAAATTGGCAACCGGCTATGAATGGTTTCTGGTCTTGACTTTTTGTAACTCCACTGAAGAAGCACAATATAAATCTGCAACCCTGTATCCGGGCAATAATTGAAATACATCAAGAAATGCTTGCAGTCATTCCAGATGGAAAAAAAAAAAAAAGGAAAAAAACCCCAGAGATATTTCAAAATCTAACAGCGCTTATAAACAAGGATGTTACTTTCCCCTTTCTTATCCAGAACCACCCCTAATTGAAAGGATCAGTATCTAAAGCAACTGGTGCTGCCCTGCACATGAATCCCCTTTGCACCTCTTCCTTCTTATTTCTTCAGTGGTTTTATTAACATTAGTGACTTATCTAAGTATTAGAATGCTTGGCTGCTTGGAAGCTTATCAACAGCAAATTTTATGGGCTGTTCAGTGATGGAAACAGGAGGAGTTGGAGCTCTCCCCCCCCAGCTACCTCGATATGGAAGTCTTCAAGAAGCCATGGAATGCGCTCTCTGGTATTTTTGGTATCTTTAAAGTGTCAAGAGTGCAGAATTTCTCTTGTCGGTTGTCACAGTGTGACTCACAATTAGAGCCATCTGCTCTGCATTCAGCTCCCCAGGGGCACCGCTCGTTTTTCACCAGCTTCCTGTTGTTGACAGCACAGTTCCTCCCTGTATCACTCTCCACCAGCACCCATACTCCTCACGGACGTTGCAACAGGCTTAAGCAGATTTCCCTTGGGAAAGGCTTTACCCTTGTTTTGCTAGTGATTGGGAAAAATATAGACTGTTGAGAAAGCTCTGAAGGCAGAGGCTGGGTTTCTAAAGGAACTGAACAAATTCCATTCTTTTTTTTTTTTTTTTTTTTCAGGAGGACTCCATTGTTTTTATATTGCTTTTAAAAACTCAAGGTTTCTCTACATCCAATTTTTAATTTCAAGCAGGACACAAGCTTGAAAAATGAAACATTCTTTTTGCTGAGTCTTTTTCAATAGCTGATGGAAATGGGTGACTAATACTATCTAAATATTATTCAAATAATTTTTCAAATACTAGAAATAATTTCCAATAACAAATTTCAGGGAGCATGCCACCTTCCCCTCCTACTCCACCCCAATTAAAAAAAAAACAGCTCTGCTACAGATTTTACATACAAAATACTTAATCTGAGTGACACTAACTACCCCAAAAACAGATCCATTATTGTGGGTTCCAAGGGTCTGTGCCTGGGTTAATGTCTGGACCATGTAGAAATACCACCTAGGCAGGGTATGGTTATCTGAAGCACAGTTGTATTGTGTGATCTTTTGCCCCTGTGGACTGGAAGTTTTATTTCTTGGGGTCTGACCAGTAGTAATAGATTTGAGATTCTACTTTCCCTCAGAACCCAGTTTTCTTGAAATGATCTCCAGTCCTGCAGGAGCATAATATATTATATATTTTCACTTACTGTAGTCATTCTGTTAGGCCTGGGCTTGGTCAGGTGCTTCTCTGTTGTGTCCACTGCACAAGGAGCAACCTAAAAAAAAAATTCAAATATTCAACATAATATAAAATGCTTCTCCCACAATGGGCCACAAGTTTTATGCACGTAACACTTTTTCCTGAGCCTTTAGGGAAGCTCCTGGGCCCTGCTCCTGACCTGACACTGGTGATAACCGCTAGAGTCTGTCATGCTCAGACTCCAAGTAAAATCATAAATCATCTTATTTTGTACCACATCCTACCAATAAAGATTAGTTGCATAACTTTACTGTGATTTGCTGGGATCTTTCCAGAACCAGCGGTTGGTTTCTCCTAGGAACAGACTCTCTCTTATATATTCACACCCCTCCAAACACAAGTTTAGCAGACTTCAGACCATGATGCATCTGCACTCACTCAGTCACATCACGTCAATACGATGCACAGAAGCCTTTCATTTGCCTTCTAAATCAGGATAGCATAACAGCTGAAATATTTCTCACTGACCCTGGTCTTCAACACAAAACTGAACTTCCCTTTGCTATTTCAACATTCGCTTCACCAGGATTATATTGAAGGTCAACACAATTTGGGCCCTGGATCCAGACTGCTTAAATTATTCAAAAAAATATGAACCTATGCCAGCTAAATCAAGAAAATATGTTCTAAAGAAAGATAAAACACATCCTCTGTTTAAAAACACATTTCCAAAAAGCAGCTCTAAACTCATCTCATAAAATTGTTATGAAATCCTCAGTTCCTCCAAACATGAGGAGAACTCTCTGAAAACTAAAATATTAGCTCATATTTGTTGGGTAATCTAGTAAACCCAGATGGGGAAAAATTGGAAAGAGAAAAATGGATTCTTTCACTGCTGCTTCAGATTGCTCATCTATTATACAGCTCAGGCACGTATCTGTATGGAAGGTTTTCTGTGTTCCACAGCTGAATTCTTACTCAAAACCTGCATTTGCTGAAGGCATGAAAACCCAGATTCATAATAATCTCTGTTTGTAGGATCAGCTGTGGAGCTGCCACTAAAATGCCTTAAAATGCATTTGCAATTCAACAATTATTGTTCCAGCACACCGTAGCAAATTATTTTTACAGATTACAAACCCACTGATTTGGCCACTTAATAAACACAGTCCTCTTGGGCTGAAGGGCTCTTTCTCATAAGTGTTGTTCTAAGTATTAATGCAATGATCTAAGTATTAATGCAAACAGGTTGGGTATTTTCCATTTATGAGGTTAGGAGAATTAGATATGACAACCTGCTCCTCAAACCTCATTCCTCTTATCTGTATTTCTGTTTACTGCTCATTATACCTGTAGCTTCAGTCCACTTGTTGTAATAGTGTCCAAGCACTTTAATTATGGAACCATAAGTGAAGCCGCAGAGCTAAACAGCTTATTCTTAGCAAATAAAGTTATGTTTGCACCCGAGGTCATACCTGCCAGAACTTGCATGTTTTATATGGAACATCCAGTCATAAAGACCGAGATGTACTTTGAAATTTAATGGAAATGCATTCAGTTAGTAGTGCTTTGCAAAAGAGCAAACTGGTAATAAGGTGGATTAAAAAAGCAAAATTATACTGAAGGACAGTATCATTCTTGTCAAGCAGAAACTGTTAAGTATATAAAAATCATTAGGTGACTGAGGGAATCTGGTTTTGCACTGAAAACAGATAGACCCGAGGCCTTGCATTTTAATAATTAATTTCATAAAAGATGCCAAGAGCAATAGAAAGGTCATGAGAGCTATTCCAATCCATGGGCAGTTGAGCACGAGAATGCCTCGATGCCCTTTAGCCTTTGAGTGTGCAGCAGGACAGGGGAGTTTGGTGCTAAACGACAAATTGAGTTAGAAATATTTGAGTCATAAACCATAGTAAATCTTTTAGCACTTGAAACACCGTGTGACACTCCAAACTGAGAGCAAATGAAGTGTTAGCCTGTGCATGTTTAAAATGCATGGAGGCTGTGTTTACTGGATTATCCATTTCTTAACTACGTCTCTTTTAGCAGCCTTCTCAAGCTGACATCCAACCACTTCCCACCAAAAGAAACCATTTAGGAAAAGCTCCTCTATCATGGTATGGGAAAAAAAAAATAATATGTATCTCTCTGAAAGCAAAATTACGTAGGTTGCAAAGTCAAGGGCAGCTAAATTAGGAAGTGGCAGATTTATGTGTGCCTTTATAACCTCTACTTGGCCCTCTTGTAGGTCCTGTGCCCCGAGTGAGACAGAGGTCCTTTGGAAAAAATAGTACGTGATTATGCAATTAAAGACTATATCTTAACACAAAGGGCATCTGAATTAAGGTTCTGCTGGCAGCTGTGAGTAAAACATTTCCTTACATTTAAATTCTGGGCTTTGCAACCTTAGAATAGAATTTCTGTCAGGTGACATCTTCAGATAGCTTTTATATATAGGTGGGAATAAATTCTAGCCTGATTACTGAACCTTTGTTGCCCCAGAACAGCTTTCCATTTACCTGAGCTGAAGAAAGAAGAAAATCAGGAGTCATCTGTAGAAGGATGCTCTTCACTATGGCTATGGAGTGGAGTCAAGGGAAATTTCATATAAAATTGGTTCTTCTTCCCTTGTTTACTGGCCAGTGTTGTGATCAGTACCAAAATGACCACACTGAAACAAAGATTATTACATCCCAGATCTGAATTTACCACGTGCATTTTGCTGCTTTTGTTAATTGCTCCAGTTATCAGAGTCCTAAAACTAGATTCACAGCAACATGAACTGTTTCTTCCTAACCAGTCTTAAGAGGCTGCTCAGAATTCCTAAGGCAGATTCACATTGACAGGAACCTTACATATTCCTACCAAAAACCTTCCAATAAGCAGGACTGTACACTTCTAGGAAGGAGAAGGTCTGAAGGAATTGCCACCATCCAACCACCTCTTCTTCACACCAAGTCCCTCAGGGCCTGTCCTGTTCTGACACGATCCTTTCACAAGAGGGGAGAGCAAACTTTTTGCTTCTCTGCTAAAAGTATACAGCAGAATCCAGGATAAACTTTGAGCTGAATTGAAGTCAATGTAGTTCTTGTTATTTTAATCTCTCCTTTCTTTGCTTTATGGATTTAGTCAGGGAATTCAAATATTGAAAAAGTATGTTAAGTGCAATGCAAGCTGAGACTGTAAAAGTGCCAAGTTGATTAATGAAGCTACTATAAAATTTGTCACACTTTGTAAGTATATGATGGTATAAAGTCATCGCCCTACAGAATAACAGAAAATGTCATATATTTCTGAGTCATCTTAGTTGCAGAGAGCCATCACTTTTCTTTACCTGACTTTTGCACTTCTAGAACCTTAGACCTTCTTTTCATATGGCATTTTCGGTTTAAAACCTGTGTATTCTGAGAGTCATATGAACAAAAAAATGTCTTTTGTGCTCCAAAACAGTGTGGCAAACAGTACAGGTGCAATTAGGACACTGTTGTCTTGACAACATCATGCAAGAAATGAAAGAAGTATTTCTGATTCATGAAAGAAAACTGCAGTACTATTCTTTTACCTCAGAATATTCCACTCAGGGATCTCAAAACCGTCGCTCAAATTGGACGAGCCAAAAAGCTATCAAGGTGCACAAAATTTCATTTCAAAACTGCAGTGTTAAATCTTAAGTTCCCTTCTTTGAAAAAAACAGTATCAAGCAATGCTACATCAGGGGAAACCACTAGAGATTGCAGAAGCTGGGCTGGATGTTTTGAAGTTAGCTCTCCTATAGAACACTGTATTCATTTTTATGGATAATTATTACTATGGAAAATGTGGATCCTCGGGTGTGTTTCCCTCACCAAGGGTGCCAGTCAACTTTTCTGATGAGTTCCAACAGGCCTCACTTTTGTCCATATCCTCTCGTGTTACTAAAACAGAGAAGAGACTTAAGGAAAGTCCAGACCTAACAACTGGACTTCCCAGAACAGCAGATCCAGCGTCAGGGTTGTTACCAAACTACTCCCTACAGGACAGAAAAATGTCCTCTCCACAAGGAACAGATGGAAGGAAAGTGCTGAGGATTGCACCTCATAAGCGGCTATCACAAAGTATTCCAACGTATTCCACTCTGCTTGTTGTGGACAGGAAGCTCAGGAAGCCTTTGGGCCCAGATGCAGAATTTACAAAGAGCTCAGGAACCATCTCTGGGTGCAAAGTGAAAGGTGACAAAGCGGTACCAAGCACAGAACCAGCTGAGAAGCCATTTAGCCATGTCAGTGTGATGCTGCACCACTGTGAGCAGACCTGATGAGAAGGAAACTGGCTGCCACCCAAAGAGCAAGAACTTTGCTCCACGAGAGAGCAACTCGGAAAAAGGTAGAGCCATCAGCTCCAGGGTGTGCATCATGCCCAGCAGGCAGCTCGACACAGAAGTCCTTGACTTTAGGAATGCCTTCACTTCAAAAGATCTCACTTGGATGCGAGGATACACGCTGGCAGCAGTGAGCTCCTTTGAGGCACCTTTCCCCTTCTAGCTGTATTTACCTGAGGAGTTTCATGCGCAGAAAAGAATGAGTGAAAGGGAATATTCACATACATGACAGGAATGGTCTTAATTGTCATTTCTTTCTCAGCCAGTGCTTTGTTTTCTTTTAGTCAAAGTCTGACAGTCATAAAAAGCCATTGTAAGTGCAGCCCACCGAGAACCAAACCACAGTCCTCCCTGCAATGCCGAGGGTAGGGATCATTACGTTCTTACTGTGCCACTTGGAATTCACTCAATGCATCCGCTTACTCTATTAAATTAAAGCATTTCCTGTAGCAATTGAGGAAGGATAAAGAAAATAGGTGCTATTATAAAAGCATTGTCTGATTGGCCTTTTTCTCTGCAAGCCATTAGAATGTGGTAGCTTATAGCTTTGAATTGCAGGATCTATTATCTCCCATTACCGACACGACGTAAATGTGAAGGGCTGGAGCCAGCAGCATTGCTGTACATATGCAAGTAAATGGGACAAGGATCTGTCTCCGGTGTTTCCCACTCTGTTTCAGGCTTCCACACTGCAGGTTCCTCTCTCTCTGGTTAGT